GCGCGCCCCGCGCGCGCCCCGCCAGGCGACACGGGCGACGGCCTGGCCCGCGATAACGTATCACAGCATGACGTATCATGGCATGCTATATCACACCAGTGCACAGCATCACAGCACATCGCATCACGTGCCGCGGACAGTCACATTGCAGCCTATCAAAGCACATCATAGCATAATACCATGGCAGAGCAAACCATAACAAACCATGACATGGCAGAACATGCCATAGCACGACACATCATACTACAACATGCAATGACATAGCGGAGCATACATATCATGACATACCACCACACATCATAACAACACACACATATCATGTTATAACATGGTAGCACGTACCGTAGCACAGCATACTGTAACACATCGCCAAACAAGACACAAACGCAGACCTTCGCATTCCATAACATGACAACGAATACCGTACCATATCGCAGCATACGTACCACATTATGGCATCGCAGAACCTAGCAGTCCATAAAAGAGCATACCATATCATGCCATGGCAGAACAGAGCATACCAGAACGCAGCATCGAGTACACCATCACATAACACAGCATAGCATGCAATAGCGGAGCAGCTGAGAGTATACCACAACATCTCATGAAAGAGTTTACCATACGTGTTTTTCTATGGTTGCCACGGCGGTACGACATGAGTTTAAACACCGTAGACTAACGTTGTGCAAAGGAGTTGCATGACATCACGGAACATACCATAACACAATGAAGAGGCCACAGCGTAACCAACCTACCATGTCATAACTTTTTGTAATTTCTGATACCACGGCGGCAACAGCGAGCTTGATATAACACGATCGATTATACCTTAATGCTCGTCCCATAGACAAATCTGTGAGGGGTACCCGTTCGGTGCAAGAGACAGCTGGTCGCGCGCTGCCGCGCGAGAATCCCGCACATGTGATTATGGCTCAAGAAAAGGAGCAATATTCATCTCTCTGCCAATCTTATTCTATGAGAGAGCTGAAACATCGTAGCGCGGAGCTGAGGACAGTTTCGTGGACCGAAACCCACTGCGCGACCCTCATAACAGCAAATCGCAGCCATGGAGGCGCAGCTGCTGGCCCAGCAGCAACAGATAGCGGACCTGCTAGCGACGGTGCAGCAGCTACAAGCGCAGCAGCGACAGCAGCAGCAGCAGGCCCAACCAGCAGCACCAGCGCTTCGAGGGCGTGCTAGAGGGCGTGCTAGACGCCAAGATCATAGGGAAGGTCAAGCAGTTCGATGGGACCAGAAGCGGCTGGTCAACTTGGGAGTTTCACTGGAGAGCGTACATGGTGGCCAATGACAAGCGCTACAGGGAGTTCTTAGACAAGCTAGACGAGAAGAACCTGGAGCACCTAGACGGCGCCAAGAATGCCACCATGAGTGTCGACGACGTAGACTGGGAAGACCTCTCGACACAGCTCTACTACATGCTGGTGCTGGCGATGCCAGAAGATCCGCAGGAGAGACCATCATGCGCAACGTGTTGCACGGTGAGGGTGGTCAAGCATGGGTACGCCTGAAGGCCGAGTATGCGCCCAACGAGCCTGGCAATGTGGTCGCGCGCATGAGGCAGCTGATGTCCACGCAGTTTCCGACGAACGCGGGCGTGGCCAACGAGCTAGAGAAGCTGGATCTCGAGATCAGCAAGTACGAGAAGGCGGCCGGCGAGCAGGTAAGCGACAACGTCAAGAAGAGGATCCTGCTCGGCGCGCTGCAGAAAGAAAGCGACTTGCAGAAGCAGGTCTTCCGCAACCTTCGCAACCTCGCCACTTACCTCGAGGCGGAGAGTGAGGTCCTGAGTGCCCTGAAGGCCCAGCGTAGCTTCGATGGCGACCCGATGGAGATCAATGCGTTGAAAGGGAAGTCGAAGGGAAAAGGAAAGGGCAAGGGCGACAAGGACAAAGACAAGGGCAATAACAGGTTCGAGCCGAAGGCGAAGGACAACCCGAACCACCCGAGGAAGTGGTGCAGTCACTGCGAGAAGCCGAACCACGTCAAGGACGGCTGCCGCAAGTTCGACGCGAGACGGAAGCCAAGGCCGAGGCAAAGAAGAAGGCCAAGGATGAGAAGAAGCAGCGGAGGGCCACGACAGTAGCACTTGCCGCGGCGGGAGCTCAGGGGCCTCACGGAGCTCATCATCCGCAGGACCAGAGCACCAACCCGAGTTCGCATTCGTTGACACCCGACACAGTGTGCGCGATGACGCAGCTGACAGGACCAGGCTCCTCGGGAGCAGCGTCGACGGCGAGCGCGCTGCCCACGATGCCGCTAGGAATGCGAGGGACCAACGGTCTCTTCGCAGATCATGGCACGATCCAGCCGACGTACATCTTTGCCCTGCCGGTGGAGATGTCGAAGCAGAGGTCGAGGTCCGCAGAGCACACGCGCTCGAGAGGAAGAGATGACGGAGACAGTGTTCGTATCGCGTACGCTCGTGGAGTCCAGGGGATCATGATCGACTCTGGAGCTCAGGTCACCGCGTTCCCCTACAAGATGTTGAAGGACAAGTGCTACGAGCTCGCCAACTCTCGCACCTCCAAGCTGCAGGCCATCGACGGCACGCAGGTCCAGCACTACGGCAGGACGGACGTCCGACTCAAGACGGGTCGGGGCGTGATCCAGATCTCGGCGGAGGCCGCCGACGTTGAGTTCCCCGCGATGTCTACCGACGCGATCACCAAGCAGGGCAAGTCGGTCATCCACTCCCGTTTGGGCGACTGGATCGTAGACAGCTCGATCTCACCTCCGACGGCAGCGAGCTCGATCAAGCTGACGAAGGATCGAGGCGCGCGCTACTTGGAGTACGACGAGATGCTGGACAGCGGGGCCACAGGCAAACGCGCGGCGCGCATGGCGGCCATTGCCGAGCCAGACTATTTCGAGGAGGTCGGCGACGAGCAGCTAGGTGAGCAGCCGTGCATCGGTGCGACGCGCAAGACCCTGCCAGCGCAGGTGCCAGACACGCAGGACCGACAGCAGCTACCGACGGCGCTTGGACCAGACCCCAGCGAGAACGTCACCCCGAAGGCGAAGGAACTCTCCAGGCCAGGACAACCCTCGGCGGAGGGGAGGAGAGCTCACGTAGCACATCCTCTTCTTTTCAGGTCATGGCGCAGCGAGCGCGTCATGGGCCGCGGGAAGGACGCCCCCCACGAGATGAACTCAGAGCAGAAGAAGGAGGGCGAGCACCCCGTTGTGGAGATGGACTTCTTCTTCGTGGCCACGGACGAGATCGCCAGGACGTGCCCCATGATGAATGGCTACGTCGCCGAGGTTGTTGACTTTCGGAAGCTAGATCAGAAGGGGCGGGGAGAGATGCCCGCTATCCTGAACGTCACGGACTGCAGGTCCAACGCGTCTGCCACGCGGTTCGGCCCCAGGCAGATGGGCGACTACAGGGCGCACTACGTCGCCAAACTCATCGACAGCTGGGGCCGCGCAACTGTGATTCTGCTCGCGGATGGCGAGAACGCAATCGTTGCCGTGGTGGAGCAGGTGAAGAAGCTCAGGTCGCACTCTACGGTAGCGCGGCAAGGTCCAGCGTACTCTTTCAAGAGCATGGGGCGCATGGAGGCCAGCAATGGAGCAGCTGCGGGACTTCTTCGCACGCTGCGGTTTTCCCTCGAGACCAAGCTAGGCTGCAAGCTCGAGCTCGCGGACTCCGCCCTCGCCTTCCTGGCCAACGCGGTCGGCCGGTACATCGCGAGGTTCCAGCCGAGGGGCCGCGGAGGATCCAGCTACAAGTACCTCTTCGGACGAAAGTATATTGGTGAGGTCGCGGAGGTCGGCGAGCAGGTATGGCATCGCATCGCGCCCCGCGTTGCAGCGGGCCAGGGCAAGTTCGAGGCGGGTTTCGCCAAGGGCATCTGGGTTGGCAGGTCGGAGTTCGATGACCAGCACCTGGTGGTGGACCTGCAGCGGGGCCTACTGAAGGTGCGCGCAGTCCGCCGCATGCCCGAGGAGTTCCGTTGGAACGCCGAGCTCGTCAAGCAGATCGACGTCACGCCCTGGGCCCCATTACCTGAGAGAGTGAAGTCGACCATCAGGAAGTCCATGTATATCACCGAGAACATGCTGAACACGCATGGCCCGACGGACAACTGCCCCAAGTGCTCCTACGGAAAGGGCCAGCACAGCGACCAGTGCAGACAGCGCTTCGAGACGATCGCGCAGGAGAGGCTGGAGGCGAAGCTCTTGGAGGAGACCAAGGGCGGAGTGGCACCCGGAACCCCAGCTCCACAGCAAGGGCCTGCTTAACCACGAGCAGCCGCAGATGGAGCCACAGGGCAGCCGTCGGCACAGGGCAGCACTCCAGCATCGACCGCAGCTCCTACCACGCCCACGCCTGCGGCCGCATCCGCTACACACGGGATGGACATCTGCATGTCTGGAGCGTCCGCGCGGGAGCCTGTCCAGGAGACCATCGAGCCGAACAAGCGACGGCGGATCGGCACCCTGGTGAAGGCACCCGAGGTGGTGGTCCTCGCGGGCCTCTCGGTCTGTGAGCCGGCAGTCTGCGAGGAGGATGGCGACCAGGAGGAGCATCCGCCTTGGGACATGATCCCGAAGGCTGCTGAGCGGTGTGACGGCCTGTGCGATGGCCATGTGGGGCGCTGCGCTTACCGATGCGATCACGACGGGGAGTGCGCGTGCAGGAGGTGCCTCATTGGAGCTGCCAAGACGCTCAACCCCGACGCGAAGGTCGCGGCTAGCCTGTGCGCGTTTTGGTCGAGACGTCGGACATCTGAACAGTGCGACTGGAGCCGGGGGCCCGAGCCTGCCGCGAAGATCCATTACGATTACTACACTGGAGAGCCCCTCGACGAAGGCAAGTACCAGAAGGGCAAGGCAGACGAACTCCAGGCCATGGCCGAGTACGGCGTGTACCGCAAGATCCGCATCGCCGACTGCGTGCTTGGAGGCAAGCACGTGGGAGGATTTCCCATTGCTCATGAGAAGGCGGGCGAGGTGCGTTGGCGCTTCGTGGCGAC